ATGGATAAAGAAAATGTGGTCCATCCATACAATGGAATATGATTCAGCCTTAAAAAAGAAGGAAACCCTGCCGAAAGCAACAACATAGATGAACCTGGAGGACATTATGATAAGTGAAATAAGCCAAAAACGACAAATACTGCATGATTCCACTTATACGAAGTATCTGAAATTTCAATTTCGTAGAAACAGAAAGTAGAATGGTAGTTGCCAGAGGTTGGAGGAGGGGGAAATGGGTAGTTGTTATTCAATGGGTACAGAGTTTCAGTTGTACAAAATGTATAAGTTCTAGAGATCTGCTTCACAACATTGTGCCTAAGTTAACAATACCATTATGCCTTTAACATTTTGGTAAGAGGGTAGATCTTCTGTTAAGTGTCCCTAACACAATTAAAAAAAAAAAAAATCATGCTCTGCAGTCCCATCTCCACAACTTCCTCATCGTCCTGCTTCCAACACACACATACTCACGTGAGAAGCTTGTGCAAGGCTTTGGGCTTTTCTGCTCTGCCTCTATTGTTGGAGACTTATCCTACGGGGATGCTGTGGTGGGAGGAGCTAAGAGTGGCTTCAGACTCATCCCCATCCTGGGCAGCAGTTTTCTGAGTAGGTCAAGCCAGAGCCTGTGGCTAGCAAGAAGCAGCCTTGATCCTCTGCAGAAGGACCGGAACAAAGGGCTGGGAAAGTGCCCCCTGAGAAACCTCAGACTGGAACCCGCCTCTCCAAAAAGAGTACGCCCACTCTGACGGTGTGGGTGCATCCCCGCTTTGTAACACCCCCACCTCTGATAAACAGTCTTAATTCACATCCCAATCCCTCATACAAATCCACGCTTCCTGATCCCAACCTCCAGATGCCAGCTATGTTTTGGAATCCAGAATTTACAAAAGGCGTATATTATCCCCTCCAGGGGCTTCTGGGACAGCATTTGATAATCAAGCATACTAACATCCCTGCTTATATGAATATTCAGGCTCAGGACTACATAAAGACCATAAACACATTCACATGGGCTCAGTCAATTTGGGCTTCCAAAGGAGCTGTGAAAATTTTTCTGTTTGGGGATTTTAGACTTGTGGATGTGGGATTATGAAGCTGTGGTTGTCTTTACAACACCCCACCTTGGTATAATTGCCTTTGTAATTTTGTAAACCCCATCTTGGCAAGGGTGTCTTCATAACATCACAGCTCTGTCATTGTAACCCCCTCTCCTGTGAATTGCTGTTTCTTTGTAACACACCCATGTGTCATTGTAGAATTCCATCTGTATATTGGTGTGCCACTCCTTGAGAATTCCACCTTTGCGTTGTTTTCTTTTTGTTACAACTCCTTGATGCACCATTCTATTTTCACTACTTACTTCCTCTCTATTGCTGGCTGTGTCTGTCAGCTTTTTAACACCCCCTCCGTTGTATCACTGTGTTTTCATAACATGATTTCTGTCTATTTGAGGGTCCTTCTAATAATAGTCAAAACTTATTGAGTACTTACCAAGAGCCAAGCACTGTGCACTGAGGGCATATTAAAAGCAATAACTCCTGTAACCCTCTGTGTTAGTCTGCTAAGGCTGTCATAACAAAGCAACAGAAATTGGCTTAAACAACAGAAATTTCTTTTCTCACAGTTCTGAAGGCCAGAAGTCCAAAATCAAAGTGTTGGTAGGTTTGGCTCCTTCTGAGGGCTATGAGGGAAAATCTGCTCAGGCCTGACTCTCCTTGGCTTGTAGATGGCCTTCTTCACATTTACATGGGTGTGTGTGTGTATGTGTGTGTGTGCACGTGTGTGTCTATTTCCAAATTTCCCCTTTTTACAAAGACATCAGTCATATTGGATTAGGACCCAGCCTAACGACCTCATTTTAACTTAATTAAACCTCTGTAAAGACCCTATCTCCAAATTCAGTCACATTGTGAGGCCCTGGGGGTTAGGAATTCAACATATGGATGGGGGGTACAGAATTCAACCCAAATTTTTGTGTATTCTATGAAGTCATTTGGAAGTGAACAGGGTTCCAGGAAGTCCCACTCTAGAATTCACACTGTCACTCACTCTACCCATTCTTGGCTGTGTGACCTTGGGCTAACCTCCCTGGGCTTCAGTTTTCTTGCCTGTAAAGTGGGACTAAAAATAGAATGGTACCTTCCTGCTGAAGTCATCAAAAATCAGTTAGTGCCTGGTGCCAATAAGCATTAATAAATGTCAACTGTGTTTATTGTCTCTATTGTAGCATTTCATCTGCATACATTGGGTCTTGGTAACATCCTACAATTGTGGGGCCCAAGCATCCTTGCTGTGGGACACCCCCAGATCCAGCATAACTCAAAAAGTAGGACAGTCTCTCTGATCTCAAAGCCACCAGGAAAGACACCAACTTCCTTGAGGGCTTGCATCCTTGGGGACTGCTATCTTAGAGGTCATTTGGCAGCATTGCATAGAACCCACCTCAGAAGGAAATTCATGGGAGGACACTCAAGTTTCTTACGGCCCCCAAGAGTAGATCCTAGATGTACTGGGTTGAATAGTGTCCCCCCAAAATTCACATCCTTCCTGGAACCTCAGAATGTGAACTTATTTGGAAAAAGGGTCTTTGCAGACGTAATTAGTTAAATTAAGATGAGGACATACAGGAGTAGTGTGAGCCCTACATCCAATATGACCAGTGTCCTTATAAGAAGAGGATAAGAGAAACAGACACACAGAGGGAACACAGCCACATGGCAGAATGGAGACAGAGATGGGAGCAACCAACTGCAAGGCAATGAATGGATTGCCAGCAACTACCAGAGGCTGGAAGAGGCAGGGAAGGATTCTTCACTAGACCCTTTGGAGAGAGCATGGCCCTGTGGACACCTTGATCTTGGACTTCTGGCCTCCAGAACTGGTGAGACAATAAATGTCTGTTGTTTTAAGGCACTCAATTTGTGGTACTTTGTTAGGGCAGCCCTAGGAAACTGATGTCACTGGGAGGAGGCAGGGCAGAAAGCTAGGTCGCTCCTCTGTCTCTCTAGGGCTCTGCGGTCTCGTCTGTGAATCCCTGCACACCTTCCTTCTCGCTATCTCTGCATATGGGACATTCTATGCTTCTCTCTCACATACACCTTCCAATTCCTGACTAACAAGGTCTCAGAGGCCAGGCCCGCCCACATTCCTGCAGAAGAGATCTGATTGGCCCAGCTTGAATCATGGGTCCACCCTGGCCCAATCAGCTGCACCAGAGGAGTAGCATCACCTGGTGCCAAGGGTGCTATGCAAAATAGGCAACAATCAGTGTAGCCAGACGCTGACCAATCAGATGCAACGCTTGGCCCCCGGACCAAGAGTTCTGAGGACCACGCTTCCTCCGCCAATCCTGTCCGTGCACCCAGAGTTAAGGCTTTGGATGCTGCGTCGCAGGGCCACCCTAGGCGTCCAGAGGAAGCCTCCAGCAACGGGGGCGGAGAGTAATCAACATTTGCCAAGTAGTATGGATCTAGTTTAGTAACTCAATGACCCATATGGCCATACTCATGGGTGTCAGCTCAATGCCAGTTCTGCCCACTCAGGAGGGAGTAGGGAACGAACTCTTTGAAAAGGGGTAGAGAAGGGTCAGGCAAATGACTTTCACCTCTATGTCTGCATCTTCACTCCCCATCCCACACCCTCCTCTCACCAGTGCAGGCCAAGCTCTCCCACCTGTGCCTCCCTCATCCCCATCCCTCTTCTTAAGTCCCATCAAGGTCACCTGCTCCGTGGAGACTTCTCTGTCCACCCCAGCCCCTTTTGTCCTATGTCTGTAAGGAGCCAAGGTCCAGCTGGTTTATATGGGCCAGTGGGCGGAAGATCTGTATGGTGGGGAAATTATGGGGCTGGGGGAACCGGCCCCAACTGGAGAGGAAGAGGAACAGTGGTGTGCTGGTAAATGTTTACCAACCAGCTCTGCAGAGGGGGAAGAATTTTACTGGCATAATGTGTAGCACACAATTTCCAAAAATAAATATAAAATACTCTGGCACTGCAAATTCCGTATAGTCAGTGATTCTCACAGAATGCCTTCCTGATTGTTCCCTCTCTTGTACCGAGAGCCCACCTATAATTGCAACTGACAAACGAGTGAAGGTAGGTTGATAATTTCCTTTAAAGACTAAGACGAAATGAACAACAAGGATGGGTGTTCGCACCCCACTTGCTTGTCAATGACGTGAGCAATTTCTTTGCTAAATCAGATAATGGTTTGAAAACACTAGACCAAGACTTCCTCAATTTTTTTGTGTGCTATTCACAATGTAACAGCTACAGAGAAGACACACTTTTAAGTCTAATCTACCTGTTTAACATCCTTTGCTCCATCACTTTGAGTATAGATGATCAGTAAACAACTTGATGTAGCATTTGCCGATTCCCATAGTGTAAATACTCACCGTGGCCAATTGTAAGTGACCAGCGTGATGTCACTGAACACAAGTTGGCAAGTAATGTCCTGCAGAACGGGATTATGCAGTATTTCCACCACCAGATACAACAAAGGTAAATAACAAATGGGAATAATAAAATCCATAAGGCACAGGGTAGTTAGAAAGTCTTGAGATAACTCACATTGTCTGGCATAGAGTAAATAGTCAACACAGAATAGTCATTAAGTTTATAAATATTTTATTATCCAGTACCTTGCACTATCTCATGCTCTCCCATCTGGCAAAGCCACATGGGGTCACATACTTCATAGTGTCAAGCCAGTGTACTTGACTGTCAGTTTGGCAAAAGCTGGGGGTTTTGTCTCTCTTGTACACGGCTGTGTCCCCAACACCTAAAACAGTGCCTGGTACACAGTAGCTGCTCAGTAAAAGTTGCCTGAATGAATGAAGCTCACACAGCATAGAGCTACACGGACCCCCAAAAGTTCACCCCATGAATCCCATAGGGGGTCTGGCGATGAGTCTTTATTTCTCATATATTAACATAAATAAGGATTTTGGGGGGAGGAGGTCTGATTTGTTTGCTGATGTTTCTCTAGCCCTGCACAGTGCCTGGCATGTGGCAGAAGCTCAATAAATATAATTGAAGGAGTTAATATAAAGTACAGTCTGAGCTGAGGCTCAGAATAAATACCAAGAGTTTGCCCAGTAGCGGGGGTGATAAAGTGATCTGGAGAGTCCTCGAGGAGGCGGTGAGCAGCAGGGACCCCTGCCCAGCCCGGTGAGGTAGACTAGCTGGGCCCCATCTCCAGGGGCCGCAACCAAGGCAGGCAGGCAGGATTCAGTCTCCGTCCAGGGGGTGGCATCCAGGCTCGGCGTCACGTGGGCAGCGGAAAGGGGAGTCCAGCGGGGACTTTGGTGGCCACGCGGAAGAGGCCCAAGACCGTGTTGGTCTGTGCAAGCTGCCAGGCAGGGTGTGCCCCGGGCCCCGGGCGCAGGTGGACGCCCAGGCGCTGGCCGGCGCCCAGGTGCAACAGACTGCCTCTGAAACCAACCACCCGCGAGTCCGGGGCCTCCTCGGAGGAGGGAGGTGAAAAGGCAGGTGGCAGGTCCAAAGTCATGGCCAGGGCGGCAGCCCCAGTGCTCAGTGGCTGCAGGCGCAGGTCAATGGAGACGGAGCCAGAGCCGGCAGCGGCCACCACACGCCGCAGTTCGACGCGCAAGAAGACGTAATAGACGCCGGCCTCGGCCACCACCAGCTCTCGCGCCTTCTCATCGTAGCTCAGGCCAGGTGCCAGGGACACGCCTGCCACGCCTGGGTGGCTGAACCAGGGCAGGGGCCCTTCCGTCAGCTGCACTGTGGAAGGGAGAGAGGGTGCACTGAGCATGGCCGGCGGAGCTTTGAGCCAAGGTGGGGAGGGGTCTCTGGGGGAGGGCAGAGGTTCCCAGGGGGAGGTGGGCCTAGGGGAGGAACAGAGGGGATAGAAGGGAGGAAGGGCTTCCGAGGGAGGGGAAGACTGTCAGGAAGAGGGAGGGTGGGGAGAGGAGGGGACTCTGAGACGGGAGACTCTGAGGATCCAGGAAAGCAGAGGGGACACCAAGCAAAAGGAGGAGATGCAATGACGCCATGCAGAAGGAGGGAGGGGAGTCTCACGGGAGAGGGGCTTGGGGAGGGGGCAAGGGGACTCCTAGGGATGGAAGGAAGAAAGGGGTTTGGAGAGGGAGGTGTGGGGGATGAGGGACTCGGAGAGGGAGGGGGAGTGGAGGGAGGCAGGGCGGGGGAGGGGACAGAGGGAGGGTCAGGGAGGAGGAAGGATTGGAAAACAAGGGGACTTTGAGGTGGGGAGGGAAGAGGGGAGACTGAGAAAGGAAAAGGGGCAGGAGGAGGGGTGCGAGTAGGGAGGAGGGAACTCCCAGGAGAAGGGAGGGCGGGGAGGAGGTCTCGGTAAGAGAGAGAGGAACGGGGAGGGGGAGGGGGGGGGACGGAAGTGTCCGGAAGGGAGAGGGGTAGAGGGGAGGGGAACAAGTGGAGGGAAGGGGGGAGGGGTGGCGAGGAGAGTCTCAGGAAGGGGGAGGGGAATGGAGTTAGGAGGAGGGACTCTGAAAGAGGGGAGGTGAGAAGGGATGGCGAGGAGGGTCCGGATCTCCCGGGGCCCAACGGGAGAGACAAGCCCAGGCTGGGATCTGTGGGATCAAGCCCCAGCCCTGAGAGGGTGGGGGCCTGAGGTGGGCACAGACGGGGGTCAGAGGAGGAGGACATCCAGAGAGGCTCAGGGTTCAAAGAGGAGAGGGGACAGCTTTCAGAGAGGGAGGGGAAAGGGTCAGATCGGGGGCCTCCCTCTCCTGGGACCTCTCCTTAGCCCTCCCACCCCCAACCCCAAGCCGGCGGAGAACGGCTCAGGACACTCACCATCTTGGGCCACCAGCTGCGCGAACACGCCCTGCGAAGGGAGGAAAGGCAAAAAGTTGGTGGATGCTCCCTCCTTCCGCGCCCGCAGCCCCCTGGAAAGTGGGGTCCCCGGGGTCTGCACAGGCCTTGAACCTACGCTCCCCTCCCCCCCAGCTCCAAAAGAACCCACAAACACACATGCACACCCGAAGTTGGTGGTTCAACCTGCCCCAACCCGTGCTGTCTGCAAGGACTGAACTCAGAGGATCCAGGAGGCACCAGAGGAGAGATTCCCTCCAGGGGCCCTTGGAACAAGGAAGTCTTGGGAGGGAAAGGGGAGCCCCCAGGGGTCCGGGAGAAAACCGGGGTTCTCCGGGAGGTAGGAAAGAAAGTGAGAGTCCCCTCAATGGTTCGGAGAAGTGCCCCTCCGGCTCCGCAATGGAGAAAGGGTTCCCCTCTGAGGCCCGGGATGCACATGGGGTTTCACGGGAGTGTGGGATGAGAAGGGGCGCCCCTCGAAGTCCTGGATAAAGAAGGGGAGCCCTCGCGGGTTCCTCCGTTCCCGGTCCGGGGTGCAGAAGGGGTCCCCCCTGGGATGTGGGATGGAGAAAGGGTCCCAGAGCGGGGTAGGGGTCTCCCCCGGGGCCCAGGTCGGGGCGCATCTCACCTGCGGCGAGTCGGGGAGGCGAGCGCTGGCGTCGGGCGGCAGCTCGGGAACCTCGGGGAGTCTCGAGCTGGGCGCGGGGCCCGGGCTGGGGCCGGCCAAGGCGGGAGCCCCGGGCACAACCCAGGCGCGGATCACGCAGGCGGCGCAGGCGCCGGCGAACAGCAGCAGCGCGGCGCTCAGCGCCCACGGCAGCGGGTGGCAGCCGCGCCCGGGGGACGCGGGCGGCCTCTGGGCCTCTGGGTCCGGGTTGGCGTCGGTGCTAGAGCGCATGGCGGGAGGCGAGGGGCTGGAGCCGGAGCCGAGCGTGCCGCGCTTTATAGCAAATCCGGAAGCCCGGCTTTCCGGGGCGGAGCTGGTGGGGATCCCGGCGCCCCGCCTGGTAGGTTCCCGCGCGCCCGCCCAGCCCCCTCTCCGAACTCTCCCCAACTTTCTCTTCTCCGGATTTCTCCATGTCTCCGTCTCCTTTCCCTCTCTCGCCCTCCACGCTCTCCCCCACTGCTTCATCTTTCTCCCCCGTAGTTACCTCTGTCTCCCCGGTTCTCTCTCTCTCCGCCTCTGTGTCCCTTTGGGTGCCCCTTTGCAATTCCGTGTCTCTCCTCTTCTCTGTGCGTCTCTCGCTCTGTCTCTGTCTCTGTTGATTGTCTCTGCCTTGGGAGGCAGGGGATCTTTCTCTCTCTCTGCCTCATTGCTTCTGTGTCTCCGTGTCTCTGACTTGCTCTGTCTCTGACTCTCCCTGTCTCTGTCTCTCTGTCTCTCCCTGTCCATCTATGTGTCTGACTCTCACTTTCTGAGTCTCTGTGTCTCTCTTTGTTTCTTTCCCCTCTTTGTCAGTCCCTAGCCCCCTATCACTGGGGCTCCCACTTCTGCAGAGGGGTCGGAGGACAGACCCATTCTCCTCTGGAGCATCAGCCCCCCGGCGGAACCCTGAGTGTCATGCTCAGCCCTCCCCCTACCCTCCCCCACCTTCCCAGGACCCCTGGGCCTTCCCAGGCCTGCCCCCACCCACCCACCTAGACACTTCCCGTCAGGAGCCCCCTGTGGACCCCACAAGCAGAAGGCTGGAGAGTCCAGGTGGAGAAATTCCCCTCCTAGGAAAGGGCCAGTCTTGAGTGAGACAAAGGAAACTTAAATTTCCCGTCCCTCGCCCGTCGTGGAGGCGGGGGCGGGGAGGAGAAGCAGCAGAGAAGCGGCCAAAACTCGGCCCCAAAAGAGGAAGCAACCCCAGACCAAGAGATGGGCGGCCCTGGAAAAGTCCTGGGCTCCGGCAGAAGTCCTGCTCTGCCCAGACCAGCCGGGTGGATACTGGTCAACAGCCTGACCCTCTCCAGGCCTCATGTTCCCTATGGAAAACAGGAGGGTGGGCTGGGCGGTTGATGTCAGCCCTCCGCCCAGGAAATGTGGGGGAATTTTGATTCAACTGAAAAAGTATCGGATGCCGGCCCTGTGCTTGCTCACGTATTGGGCCTCGCCGGGGGAATTACCGGGAGAAAGCAATGATGACACCGGTTCGAGCTGATGCACAGGTGCTAAATGCTTCCGTTATAGATGGGTTTATCAAGTGTGAGGCCCAAGCCAGCATCGCCTGGGGACTTGTTCGCTATGCAAATTCTAGCACCTTAAACTAGACGTATTGACAGCGATCAGTGTTTGAATGAGCCCTCCAGAAGATTCTGACGCTCGCCCAAGTTGGAGAACCCACTGCATCATACCAAGGTTATTCCTTTGCACCTGCTGTCCCTCTGCCTGGAATATTCTTTCCCCAGACTGGCGGCCGGTGGACACCTTCTTGCCATTCACGTCTCTGTTTCGACTGCCCTTCTCGATAAACATGATGCATTGAGCACTAGCCTCCACTTTCGCTGTCTCCTGAAACCGCACTGCAGCGACAGTAAAGCCATGGTTTTAAAACCTAAACCAAAATTGGGAGCCAGCAGGGCAGAAAGCCAATGAGAACTTCCCTAGCAGAATCCCACCACCACCACCAGCCCACAAAGGCTCGGGTCCTGGCGACCTCCACCAGCTCTGAAGGCGAGTGCAGTGGGTGGCAGCTAAAATAGAAGAGTTGTCCGAAAGAAATTGCCCAAAAGAGACACCAGCTTCTCTTCCCATTAGGGTGGAAAGGCAGCTGTTTGCTTTTGTTATTTTTTCCTCCAGAGAGCGGAAACGGCAGAGTGTCTGATCAGGGGAACCCAGTCGAGAGTGCAAAGCAGGAGTGTTAAACAAAACTGTGAACTCGAATGCAGGAGCTGAAACTTCCTCACCTCCTCCCTCATCCTCACTCAGCATCCAGGACCCAGAAGATGGGGTGGTGAACGACCCCTCTCTGAGGACTCGGACCAAGCAGGAAGAAAGGTGTAAAGACGCTGAGGCCGAAAGACCCTCCCCTGATATTATCGCCCTGCCAAGCAGCTCACAGGCCACCCGCCAATCTGTTTCTTATTAAGCCCTACCCCACAGTAGGTGACAGCCAAAAAGACAAAAGAACAAAAAGAATAAAAATGAAAGTGTCCCTCCCTTGGGCCCTGGTCACCCCATCAAATTTCATTACTAATAGTTTCCACCATCTGAAATATTCTTGTTCATTTGTTTACTTGCTTATAATTATTTTCCTCCACGAAATTATCTCTGAAGAGGAGCTTCTTGGTCTTGTTGCCATTCTACCTCCAGAGCCTAGAAAATCGCAGGCCTCAATAATATTTATTGATGAATGAATGAATGAATGAAATCTAGCATAACAGTTAGCAGCATGGGCCCCAGATGTCAGCAAACTACAGTCCTTGAACCAGGAATTTTTTCTTTGGTTGGTTTTGGCTTTAAGTGGCTGGAAAAAGTCAAAAGAAGAATATTTCACGGCTTGTGCAAATTACATGAAATTTCCGTTTCAGTGTCCATAAATAAAGTTTTATTGGCACACAGCCATGCTCGTTCATTGACACATACAAGACTATAGCAGAGTTGAGTACTTGCGACAGAGACTGTCTGGCCTACAAAGCCTAAAATATTTCCTCTCTCTGGTCCCGTTCAGAAAAAAAAAATTTGCTGCCCCTGTTCTAGAATCTTGAATTTCAGCTCTCATATTTCTTTCTGTGTGATCTTGGGTGAGCTGTTTCACCTCTCTGAGGTTCATTTTTCACATTTGTTCAAAGGGAATAATAGTTGATGGCGAAGAGTGGTTGAGAGCTTGCTGTGAGCAGTGCCAGGCATGTAGTGAATGCTTAGTAAAGGTGAGTTGGCATTATTATGATCACTGAATCTTTTCTACATCCCTGGGACACCATCACCCCCAAAATGTGGATGCAGAAACCGAGACTCCAAAAGTTGAGGTCACTGAGACTAGGGACTGCTCTGAACTCCTCTCTCCACCAAGAGGCTTGGCAGAGTTCTCTACACCCCCTCTACGGAGGGGAAACAAGGCCTGGCAGCCTGGGGAAGGCTCAGGCCGCAGCCAGGGAGCGCCATGACGTGCTGCTGTGGTCGGCACATATGAGCCAGGCAGCCCCACCCACCATGAAGCTCTCAGCATCATGCTTCTAGCGCCCCACGTTCCGTGGAGTCACACCTCTGTGCTCAGCTGTCTCCCCAAGGTGAGCGTGGGTTGAATCCTCACCCACCCCGTCACAGGGCTCAAGGGAGGGATGGGCAGGAAGCTGTTGGAGGGGAGAGCACCCCTTTTCCCCTCTGAGGCCCAGGGAACAGGCACCTTCTCCAGGAGGTATGCCTTGATTTTTTTCTAGCCAAACTCAGCTCTTTCTCTCTGGGGTCGTGACTGCCCCCCATCCCATATGTGGCCTCCCCCAGTGTCAACCCTTAGCTGGCCTGGATGCTCTGGCTCCCCCAGGGCAGAGGCTAGCATGACAGAGAACATTAGTGATGTTTGCTGAGTAAGTGCACAAAAGAGAGAGCCAGCGAGGGACCAAATGGGGGTGTGTGAACCGAGAAAAGAAGAAAAAAAGGGAAGGAAAGAATTGAGGGAGGTTGGTCTTGAGCCGTGGGAGGGTTAACACGGGTCAAAGAAGGAAAGAGAAACAGAGAGGGGGAATCGTGTCGTCCAAGTTAGGCAAGTCTCTGGAAAGTTGGGTCCAGAGTCTCTCCTCGGCCCTAGAGAGGCCAGGAAAAATCACGCCAGCACCTAAGTGTGTGCACCTCTTGTGCAGGATTGTGTAAATGCAGCAAGGCATGGTGGGGATGCAGAGCAATTAAGCTTTGTGGAGTTGGCGTGCATACTCGGCTACTCTGTGTTGTGCATTTCCAAAGGGATGTTGTGTTTTCAGCGATGAGGACGGGGGGGTCCATGTGTGCACAGGTGTGTTTCCAGTTGAGGAACAGCCTTAGCACAAGATCCATAGCTGGCTTCAAATCCCAGCTCTGCCTCTTGCTAGCTGTATGATCTTTTTTTTTTTTTTTTAAAGAGTCATCTTCTGGGGCTTGCCCGGTGGGGTAGTGGTTAAGTGCGCGCGCTCCGCTGCTGGCGGCCTGCCTTCAGATCCCGGGCGCGCACCGATACACCGCTTGTCAGGCCATGCTGTGGTGGCGTCCCACATAAAGTAGAGGAAGATGGGCACGGATGTCAGCCCAGGGCCAGTCTTCCTCGGCAAAAAGAGGAGGATTGGCATGGATGTTAGCTCAGGGCTGATCTTCCTCACAAAAATAAATAAATAAATAAATAAATAAATAAATAAATAAATAGTCA